TTAAGCATCACCGGAGTCTTATTGCGTACCATGGGCTAGCTGCCGTTGATGAGTACCATAATGTACAGCATGTGCTGCGGATGGGGCACTAGAATCCGGGCTCGCATTTGGGTTTCTTGCCACTGATTGCCCTCCTTGTGTATTATAGTTCTTAAAACTAATCCCATCAGATAAAGGGGGAAAAAAAGGTCAGAAGAAAAATTAATTCATTATCCCTCATTAAAAACAAAAAAGCAGTCTTGAATATTAACGAACAAACGGTCACGCCCACATTCACCATAAGTCTATACACACATTACACAGGCAAAAATATACTGTATATTTTAAAAATAAAAAAAATAAAAAAAACCTAGAATTTTACAGAACACACGTATACCTGCGGTTGGAGGGGGCGGAAGAGCCGCCGCCGCCCTTAATTGAACCGGGCCCGGAGAAATGGCGCTGTTGATTCGATCGACCGGATTTCCTGTACCGTGTAGACTCGCTCCTTTCCACGTTTGATTGACTTTGGGACATAAATTCTATATTCGAGAAAACCTTCTACCAAGAAGTTATTCAAATATGCTTTCTTTCCCAGACAAATTCACTGATCATATCAAAAACATCAGAAATAAAACCAAAAAATTCTCTCATTTAATCATATAATTTAAACTGCAGTTACGTAATTAAAAGAGATTTTATACAATTAATTCTCGATTTTACCTGGAGTGATGTGTGAAATTAGGGTTTTCCAACGTGAGAGAACAATGGTGGGAAGCATTACGACACTGCGAAAGAAAAATATATAGGAAAGGGGAGGTGAAGAAGATGAAAATAGTGTTAAACGAGCTCTGGGTGTATGGTAGTATAGTTGTAAGAGACAGGTGTAAAACTGTAGAGATAAACGTTGTATGTATAGATGCAGTAATTAATTTTTTATTTTTTTCCTTCTTTTTGATTTATTCTTGAGGGGTTCGTTTTGTTGGCGTAACAGACTAACCTTACCCAGGCGGTCAAAAGTCACGAGCTGGAGTTTTTTTAGGAGATTGGAATCAAGTGTGTTACTCTCCCATTCTCTCTCCATGTTGGTTCGAGCTTAAAAAAAAACACTTATAATTTGACAAGAGAGAGAGGTGCTACTCAAATAGACTGGAGCGGAGTCGCAAAGATATATTAGGGTGGGCTGAATTTATTATTATTATTTTTTTTTAAGAAGTTCATACCAAAAAAGATATTCATCACACGAGATTTAGTTTAAAAGGTTAAACTCTTGACATGAGTACATCAAAATATATTTTTGGACAATAGTGACAAAGTTCTAACAAATATATTTTTAACTAATAAAATTAAATATATAGCATATTACTTATTTTGATAATAACATCCACTTCATGGTCGTAATAAATAAATTTTTAACTCATAAGTATAAATAAGTAACATATGAAAAAAATACATAAGAAAAAATTTAATTACTTTTAAACTTAATCAAACATATGACATCTCATATTGTTAAAATAAGTTATTTATCTTTATTTTGATCAATAAAAGTTTTTTATTATATAATAAACTAATTCGATTATAAGGGAACTCTTTAAACTTAGTTAAATATGTATGAAATAAAATATATATTTTGATAACAAGTTATTTGTGTATTATGAATATGAATAAAATAAATATGTAATTGTTATAGAGTTTTAAATTAAATTTGAATAATTAAACATTGTATTGAGAATGAAGTTACTTCGGCTAAACTTAATTTTTGTTCTAGGCTAAACCTCTTATTCTTTTTTATTTCATCATGAATTTGAGCTAAATTTTCCATTTTTCAAAGGAAAATTTTCATATATAAGAATTTAATTATGACACGTTTCAAAACTAAGAAATAGAGTTTAAAATTTCAAAAATCAGATACTATTAAATTTTATTTATCAAATAATTAATTAAAAATATGTTTTATTAATTAAATATATAAATGTCACAATTCTATACAATTTGATAACAAATTATCGAATTGATTGATTACAAATTATTTATTAGTCATAAATAAAAAAAAATTATAGGTTACAAATTATTTTTCGGTCATAAATTAAAAATTTTATAAGTCACAAACTATTTCTCGCTCACAAATTAAGATTTTTATAGGTCACAATTTATTTATCGATCATAAAATCAAAAATGTTATAGATCACAATTCATTTATTAATCACAAATTTTATAATTCACAACTTATTTAATAGCAACAAATTATTAAGTTAATTGGTCACAAGTTATTTATCGACCACAACTTAATAAATTGCAAGTCACAATCACATTTTTTAGTTCACATTATTTACAGGTCACAAATTAACCACTTTATTGGTCTTGGTCACAATCAACCAATTTATTAGTCTGGGTCACAAACACTCTTCGTCACATTCGATCCCCGCCGTTGACATCACTTGCATCCCAACTGTTTGCAACCACCACCTCACCATCGGGCCAACAATGCCAAATCCACTACCACACAACTTCACTAAAATTAAAGTCCACCACTAACATCACCAGATCCACCTGCACCACCACCCAAAAACCAATCGCTTGAATCCAATAAGAATGGACAAAATCTCATAGATCCACCTGTACCACAGGCGCCACAACCAACAGGCATCCCTTCTCTTCTCCGGCTCCGATTTGTTGCAAATAACCACCACCATTCTCTTTTCCAGCAGATCACCACAGACATCTCAAACCACAATCATCCATTCCCTTCTTAAGTTGCGATCTGCAATGCCCCTACGATCTACAACAACGACCGGTACCTCGTTGCCACGCGCAATGATTGTAACAAAGAGAGAGACAGGAGATTGACAGTGGTACTGCATGCAGTGGCTTCTTGTGAGGTGATTGAAGTACAAAATCATTTGATCGTAATAGTAAACTTGATTCTCTGTAGCGAAGCCCGTTTAGTAGAGCATTTACAGAGGTTGCGAACTTTGGTGGCACAGGAAATGATGGTGGCATCCATATAGTATGGAGAAAGAGAGATTGATGGTGGCGCTAGCTTAGGGGTCGGCTGTATAGAGAGAGAAAGATGATATTGAAAAATGATTATGGTTTGAGAGAGTAGAAGGCAGAGGGTGGATATGTAAAATGATTTTGATGATATTATTATTAATATTTAGAATTTTAAGTATATCTGATTTTTGAAAAAAAAATAAAATTCAAATCTTAAATATGAATTGAGATCTTGAAAGCACTTAGTCCTTGTAATTTTTACTTTTTTAAAAGCCATTATTTGCTTTTGGGTTGGGGTCTAATCCCCCTCTAGATTCGCCTCTACAAATAGGGGAAATTGACAGGGATTTAGATAGGGGGCGTCTATTTAAGTCTTTGCTTGATGAGGATTATAATTAAACTTTTTAGTAAATTTTGATAGAAATTGATAAAATATGTCACCACAAAATTATGGGGTTCATAAAATATTTGTTAATTTTAATTGGTTTGAATTGTACCAAACATGTGCTAAATCCCCTGCCAATAGCCCTGTTTGAGTAACATCGGTGAAAAAGAAAAAAGAAAAAAAGGTTACTTAAAAAGTATAATTGTCTTTGTTAACTTGAGCATAGCTGTCAGCTGAATATGCTGATTGTGTTTTTAGTTGCTCTATTCAATCTCGAGTCTTGACTCTTGAGTGCTTATTGCTTGTTGCGTATAATATAAAATAATGTCTTAAACATTTTATAAATTGTTGCGTGACAAAACAAATTATTAACAAAAATTAATTTAATTAATTGATCATATAAAAAAAATGAAGTTGCATAATTAGAGTGAGAATTTCTGCTTTGGTTAAAAAATAAAAAATAGCACTTTTTGTTGGAATGCGGAATAAGAATTACTTAAAAGTCTAAAAAATTCCTTTACGTCAAGAATAAATTATTCGAATTTTAAACTCAATGATTAATTCTTGAATTTGACTTGAATCACAAACTTTTAGCTTTAATTTCAAGAACTTGATGCTTTCAAGTAGGGTTGGATATAGTCCGGTTCGATTTGTTTCTGACCTGAATCACAAACTTCTAACTTTAATTTCAAGAACTTGATGCTTTCAAGTTTCAAGTATTTTATAGTATTCTCTAAACTCAAGTATATGTGGTTGGATATCTTCTTATAATTAAATCAAGAGTCTGTTTGGTTAAGAATAAAATCTTAGTTTAATTTAAATCAAAGTCAAACAATCAATATTAATCACATCTTCTATGGATCCCACAACTTTTCAACCACACATTTCAAAAACTTCTATAATCATCTACTAAAAAAAATTAATTTAGTTCCCCACCAAACACTACGCAAAAAAGTAATTCTCGTACTGAACTAATGAAGAAAAGGATAATAATAAATTTTCTCCTTTTATCTCTCTAAATTTGGAGACTATGGAATAATTATTTTATATGTTTTGTTGAATTTCTTCTTGGTTCTACATAATTTTTATTTATAGAGATAAAAAGATTTTGATCATGTATAATAAAAATTTCAAATAAAGTTAAATATGAGTCTTAAAATTCAAATAGGAGTTTCAATTAATATTAAAATTCAATTAATTTTATATCTTATTTAATTATGTGAAGTCGAACTTCAATTACAATTACAATTACAATTAAGTGTACAAGTTTCATAGCAATTATAATTAAGTCCAAAAATTTATAGTAATTACAATTAAACTAAAAACTTTTATAATATTTACAATTAGATGTCAATACTTTATAAAACTATCACAAGAACATGATAGAACATATATTTTTCAAACTTCAATAATTAGATAATATCTAGTCGATCATAGTCCACCGAATCTAATTATTGAATTTTAATTTTTCATTAAAGAAAAATGAATGCACTATCGAAATGTATAAGATCTCATCAATAAGTTTATAATACCTTCATCTGACCAGTCATATATGTATTTTATCTTAGTTTAAAATAGGAGCATAAATGATAATTTTGCTTCTTTATTTATTCTCACTAACTTAAGCCCTTGTTTGATGCTCATTTTTCAATAATAATTTTTTTAAACTCATTTTCAACTTTATATTCTCTTAATAAACTAATTTTATACTTAAACCTAAATTTTTTTCCTTAATTTTCAACAATATATTTTCTAGAAAATCATGAGTGAATTACCCAAATGTCATTAAACTTTGGAAAAAGTTTCTACGGAGTCACTGAAATTTAAAAATCACTCAACCATCATTGAACTTTGCAAAAGGTTTTCACGGGACCACTAAATTTTAAAAATCACCACATTCATCACTGAACTTTGAAAAACTTTTTGTGAAGTTCAGAATGAATTAGGTGGTTTTTAAAATTCAGTAATTTCGTGAAAACATTTTGTAAAGTTCAATAATGAATTTGATGGTTTTTAAAATTCAGTAATCTTGTGGAAATTTCTTTTACAAAGTTCAATTACCATTTGGGTAATTCACTCAAAAAATCACTATTCAAAAAATTAATTTTTACTAAATAATGGGGCTCGAACAAGGGCTATGTATCATCTTCTTTAATAGTCAAGTTAACTAATTATAGATGTTAAAGTTTCACTGTCAACAAACACTAAGCTCAAATTTTAACTGTTCACCAAAAAATACTTATATCTTGCTTGAGCTCCATTTTTATTGAAGAATACATTTCGAAGTAGTAGATTGATGAAGAATATACGGTTAAAAAATAAGAAATTTTTGAGTTCGCATGTAATATTATAATATTGAAGAATGTGCAGTTAAAAAGAAGAGAAAAATATACTTTAAAAATAATGAGGATCAAACAAGGACTTAAATAGTTCATCCGCCCTTTTTTATGACAATGATTCTTGATATGAATTCATTTTTTACTTTCTATTTTGAGAGATTGTTTTAAGATTGCACAAAACGCGTTTAA